AAAAGAACTATAAAGAGACAATGAGTTACAAAAATTCAGAAGAGTAGACAGCAGCACATTTGAAGAAAAAAACTTATTTTTTTTCTTTTCTTGGCAGTCCTGGGGTTTGAACTCATGGCCTTGCACAAATGCTATACCACTTGAGTCACACCCTGCCCCTGCCCTTTTTTTTGCTTTTAGTTAGTTTTTAGATAGGGTCTCAAAATTTTTGCTGACCTCAGATATGATCTTCCTACCTACAGTTCTTGTGTAGCTGGCATTACATTCATACACCACCATGTCCAGCTCAACAAATTTTTGGAAGGTAGAGGCAGGTGGGGGAATACTAACTGGCTTGAAACAAAGGAAATTATTATGTAACTGCCACCAAGGACAGTTCACCAAGTTTAAACTCCAGAAGGCTTAATGCTTGGAATTGTATTACCTGAGGTCAGAAATGAGGTATGGAATGCTGGTAGAGTGGCTCAGGTTGTAAGAGCACCTCCCTAGCAAGCATGAGGCCTAGTGCTGCCAAAAAAAAGAAAGAAAGAAATGAAGTGTGGAGCCAGGAACCAGTAGCTAATGCCTATTATCCCAGCTACTTGGGAAGCTGAGGTCAGAAATATCAGGGTTTGAGGCCAGCCCAGGCAAATCGTTCATGGGAGCCTATCTCCAAAATAAGCAAACCAAAATGGACTGGAGGTGTGGCTCAAATGGTAGAGTGCCTGCTTTGCAAACACAAAGCCCTGAATTCAAAACCTAAGTCCCACCAAAAAAAGAAAAAAAAAAAAAGAAGAAATTTTGAAAAACTAAAGGAAAGTACCTAATTTTTAAATGCCCACAAAGAGTCTAGTATAGTAAATGAAAAAAGACCTGCACCAAAGCAAAACATCATGCAGTTTCAGAAAAGGGTTTAGTCATCAGGAGTAAACAGCCACAAAGGCACAGGAATCAGAACATCATCAGACATTAGCAGCAACAAAGTGGAAGCTTAGTCTGAAGGAAGTTTATTTCTAACATGAGGTTATACACCCAGCCAGTCCCATATGAGGTCAAAAAAGATTTTTTACACTTTTCAGGAGACACACACATACACACACACATATACCAAAAAAAAAAAAAAAACCACACACACAGAAGCTACTAGAAAATGTGCTTCAATAAAACAAGGGGGTAAACCAAGAAAGATAAAGGATGCATCAGGAAGAGTGGCATAAGGAAATCCTAGGACAGCATTTGCTTAATTGAACAATGAATTTTAATTAAAAGAGGAAGACAGAGGTCTGTGGAACAGAAGTCTCTGGAAAAAAAGATGGGGCTGGTCAGTTATAGGTTGAACATACAGAAAAATTGCTTCTACATGTTTGGAACATTTGGGAAAAATAGCTCTGGGTACTTAGAACTAAATGATTGAGAAAAAAAATTATAATGATGAACTCCAGATAAAACCAAGTTGTAAGAAAAAGAAAATGTAGGGTTGGAGGCATGGTTTAAGCAGTAGAGTACCTGCCTAGCAAGTGCAAGACCCTGAGTACAAGCCCAGTACCACCAAAGAAAGAAAATATAATGGTAGTTTACTGCTTGAGTGACAAGTTTATTTACTTGGCCAATAATGTGAACTCTATTGATTTAACTGTAAATTGTGGGAAACTATTGTAAGGATGAAAGAGAGAAAATGGGAGTGATATAATTCCTCCGGCTGGTTCATTCCTATAATCCTAGCTACACAGGAGGCAGAGATTGGAAGGATGGCAGTCCAGGCCAGCCTTGGCATAAAAGCAAGACCCTATTCAAAAAATAACTAAAGGATTGTTGGAGTGTCTCAAGTGGTAGAGCACTTGCCTAGCAAGCGTGAGGCCCTGAGTTCAAACCTCAGTGCCACCAAATAATAATAGTGATGGTAACAACTAAAGCAAAAAGTGTTGGCTGGCAATTTAACTCAAGTAGTAGAGAGCCTCCCTAGCAAAGCCCTGAGTTGAAAACTCCATAATCAACTTATAATAAATGAACAAATATTGCCTAAAATTGATAAATCAAGTAACAGTAGTATACTAGTTTGCTAGAGCTGCTGTAACAAAGTACCACAGACTGGTGGCTTAAACAACAGGGATTTATTGTCTCCCAGTTCTGGAGGCTGGAAGCTGACATCAAGGATCAGGGCTGGTTGCCTCTGAGGTTTCTTTACTTGACTTGGAAATGGCTATCTTTTCCCTGTGTCTTTACCTGGAGATCCCTCTGTGTGTGTGTGTGTGTATGTGTGTGTGTGTGTGTGTGTGTGTGTGTGTGTGCGCCTAATCTCTTCCTACAAGGACACCAGTCATATTGGGTAAGGGCCCACCCTAATAACCTCATTTTACCGTAATTACCCTTTAAAGACCCTGTCTCCAAATACAGACACACTGTGAGACTGTGAGAAACTGAGGAGTCAGGACTTCAACATATGAAATTGATAGAGACACATTCAGCCTATAGCAAGTAGCATAAACTCATTATTTGGAATTATGGAAGTAAAATCCAGAAGAAAGAGCTAAAAAGGTTGAAAGTGGCTGCCTCTATGGAGGGTAAGGCAGGAACTATTATTTTGATATTTTACTAAATAACAAAGTGACAGAGCTCAGCCTTGAACCCAGTGTAATTCCAAACCTTGTGCTCCTCTGCACTGCCACAGAACTGGAACGTTCTCAAGGGCCTGGCAGCTATATGCATGTTTATATTTCCCACAGCACCCTGTACACAACCACCTGATGAGTCGTCACTTCATTTTAAGAGTTCAACTTATACCACTGTGACCTTCAAGGCTGCAACTAGAGCTGGGGATGTCTACTTAGTGTAGAGTGCTTGCCTATCATGCACAAGGACCTGGATTCAATCTCTAGCACCACACATCCACACACAAAAAAGATGCCACTTGGTTTTTCTGTTTCAAAAGAAGAAGATAGGCTCTGGATATGGTGGTACACACCTGTAATCTCAGCACTCAGGAAGGTGAGGTAGGAGGATCACAAGTTCAAGGCCAGTCTGCAGTACATAGGAAGACCCTGTCAAAAAGGAGGAGGAGGAGAAAGAGAAGGAGGAGGAGATGATGATAGGGGAAGGCTGAAATCCTTGAGAGGCCACAAGCTGTTGTCTCTGTATGTAGCATCCTGCCTAGAATTTCCTCCCCTTGGTGTCTTGGACTTGCTGGGTGCATCTCTGGCAGCACTTTGACTTTCACTCCTAGGAGGGACCCATCCTGATAAAGCTAATGCTGGTGTCTCAGCCTCTCCACCCTGGGATCTAGAATAGCTACTCATCCCCATTTTCTTGAGGTCAGTCTGACTGTTAGAGGTGGCCACAGCCTCTGAAAGCTATTTCCATACCTATTACTGTAATGGCATTCACAATGATCGGTAGCATCACCATGAGGGGTTTCAGTCACTTTTGGGTTTAGGTTGGTCCACAGTTGTTCAGCCAGTTCTTAAGGCGGACAGGATCTCATGATTGTCTTCCTCCCTGAGTCTATGTGGATACCCTTCCTAGGAGCACCTATCCAATGTCCTCTGGGGAGTAGTGGAGGTTGGTGTGTATGTATGTCTGACTCAGTAGGCCTCAGATTATTGCTTCCTAATAAAATTCTGATAGCTGGGCTCCATCAATATCTCAAATACATGTGAGGAAACGTTAATTTAGAATCAATTTTAGGATGTTTCAGACTGTAAAGTCCTTTTAACTAGATCTCTGGCGAAGATGTAGAAGCACTTTATGGGACTGTAAATTTCATGTTGAACAGTCTTTGTGAAATACACATCTCCCCTACACACAAGCTGTTCTCTCCATATCAATCATGGCCCTTGCAAGTAATGTTTCACAAATATTCTGTAAATCACAGAAAACCCCATGATAATGTGAAATATGACTTTCACTTGTCTGTTAGACAAAAGAATCACACATGCCTCTCTCCCATCAGCACTAACATTTGTTATGGATAATAACACTTTCAATCACAACTATTTTTGGAAAACGGGTTTATTTTAAACCTTCCCTCCCCCACTGAAAACACTCTCCCAAGGACACAGACTCCTACAAACCACAGCCCATTAATCCAACTATGGAAGAGAAGTTTTTCTTCCCACTAACTTTTTCTTAAAGTCGCTTTGAAGAGTTAGTGTAAAAGCTGTAGGGCAGGGTTAAGGAGCACTTTACCTGAGCCGATTGGCAGAAAAGGAAGGCTGGATTTCTAAAGATCCTGGTCTCTGACCCTGCATGAAGTAAGCCTGGGTTTTTAGTTAGCTTTTCTCAGCTGGATCCTGTGGTCTTCTAGTTTTTGGCCTTAGCAGAGAAGCCTTTAGCTCTTAAAGAGCATACATTTACTACCTTGGTATTCTTTTTTTATTATTATTTTTGAAACAGGGTCTTACTATGTAGCCTGGGCTAGCCTCAAACTCATGATCTTCCTGCCTCAGTCTCCTAAGTGGAGGATGACGGATGTGTACCACCACACCTGCCTATACTGCCTTCATACTCTTAGTTCCGCTATAACCTCCCTGTTCAAGTACTAGATTGGGTTCTTTTGCAGTGCTCTGGATCAAACCCACGGTCTGGTGCATGCTACCCAAGTACTTTACCATGAGCCACACCCCAGCCCTCTAGAGTGGATTTTTTTTTGAGGGGGTGGAACTGGGGTTTGAACTCAGGGCTTCACACTTGCAAGCAGGTACTCACAAAGCAGACACTCTACTGCTTGAGTCACACCTCTAGTCCATTTTGCTGTGGTTATTTTGGACATGTGGTCTCTCAAACTATTGGCCTGGACTGGCCTCAAACCAGGATCCTCCTGATCTCATCCTCCCAAGTAGCCAGAATTACAGGCACCTGGCCCTAGAGATGATTTTGCACATAACTACACCCATGTGTGATGGAAGCTCACCCAACCTCCAGTAGATCAACAGAAAAGCAAAACCCACAAAGTTAGGGATTTTAATAGTTCTAAGCATTCTGGTAACCCATTTTTTTCTCCCATTGTAGCCGACCTTATACAGACCATGACTTCTATAAAGGAGCAGGCAGCAATTAGCAGACTCTTGAGTTTTTTACAAGAGTGGGACAATGCCGGCAAAGTCGCAAGAGGTGTTATCCTCAACAATTTCATTGAAGCCAACCACGGCAAGACTGCCCCTGAATTGGAGCAGGAGTTTTCCCAGGGAGCCAGCTTGTTCCTGGTACGTCTGACTACCTGGCTTAGAATCACGTATCCTTTGCTGAGTGGGGGAGGGAAAGTGGGGGGGCATGGGACAGGGATGGGGACGACACACATCTGCTGATAAAAATATCCCAAAAGCTAAGAATTCATCAACTTTCTGTCTCCACAACCTATAAGTGTGTCCTCATTCTCACCTCTCTCCTTTTTTTCCTCTCTCATTGGAACTGAGGTAACTATTCCTTATGTCTAGGGAAAATTTGTATTTATTCTGTATTTGAATCCTTTCCCATCTCCTTAGGGATTTCACTTTTCCTGACATGTAGCTTTCTCCTTTACCTCATTACCAACCTTTTTCATCAGCATTTATATATGCTGAAATCAATTCTACCTTTAGAAATAAAATTCAATCCCTATCTCAAACCTAAATTCCACCTAGCGCCCGCCCTTTGTAGTGAACATTGTTGAAAGGTTGTTGACTTTTCCTGTCTCCACTTCCTCTCCTCTATTTCCTCTGCTCAATGCAATCTGACTTCTGTTCCCCACACGCCACTGATGCAGTCTTGCTGAGGTCAATGGTTTTCTAATTACAAACTCCAGTGACTACATCCTCATCCCTTGTATTCTTCATCCAGTGACCGCTCAGTGGCATTTGCCAATCAACCTTTCCTACTTCTCAAAACATTCTTTCCTTGGTTTCTGTGATATCAATTCTCATGATTTTCTTTCTTTCTTTTTTCTTTTTTGCTTTGTTTTTTTTTGTTGTTGTTGTTTTTGCAGCACTGGGGCTTGAACTCAGGGCCTACATCTTGAGCCACTCCACCAGCCCTTTTTTTGTGATGGGTTTTTTTAAGATAGGATCTAATGAACTATTTGCCTGGGCTGGCTTTGAGCCAGCCATTGAAGTGACGGACTTATGGGTGGATTCCTGCTCTGTGTGTGAGCAGTGAAACAGTCTTATACTTTATGGATTCACCTCAGACCTTTTTTATTATATATTTTTCTCCTTGTCTGAACACTCTCCTCTTCCGTTAACCCCTCCTTATATGATTGACTCCTACTCCCTTCTTTGAGCCTTAGTTTAAACATCATCTTTTTTTTTTTTTTTTTTTTGGCATTATAGGAGTTTAAACGCAGGGCCTTTACCTTTATTGTGAAGGTTTTTTTTTTTTTTTTTTTTTGAGATAGGGTCTGTAGAACTATTTGCTTTAGCCAGCTTTGAACTGTGATCCTCCTGAATTCTGCTTCCTGAGTAGGTAGGATTACAGGTATGAGGTGCCAGACTTAAACATCACTTTCTCAGTAAGCCCTTTTCAGAGCCCCAGACTACCTGAGGTTCCCTTGTTATGTGTACTCGCAGCCCTTCCTCTATCTTAATAGTCATAACAAAATGTTATGAATTGCTTAATTTTTTCTGGTAAGACTGTAAGCTCTACGAGGGCAGGAGTTGCATCTGCTCTGCTCATCTCTGCATTTCACCTAGCACGGTGCCTGGCACATGTTTGCTGAATAAAGGAAAGAATGAACTTTTAATTCTGCCTAGAATTAATTCTAGGTGGAATTTTAATTCTAGGCAGAATTAAAAGTTTAACTAAACACAGCTCTCTGTTTCTTACATTTCGATCACTGATAAAATTTTAATCAAGTTCATACCTAGCACACTGGTCAAAAAGAATACCTTTAAATACTCTCTAGGTTGACCCTAATGTGCTCGGCCATTAGTGTACATAAAAGAGGTTTAAAATGCAGGTAGGGCTGGAGGTGCAGATCAGTATTAGAGCACTTGCATTGAATTTGTGAGGCCCTGGGTTCCATCTCCAGACTGGCAAAAGGTAAAAATTAAAATTAAAAAATAACAAATGCAGGCCAGCTTGGTAGCTCTCATGCCTATAATCCCAGCTATTTGAGAGGTGGAAATTAGAAGGATAAAAGTTCAAGATTAGCCTGGCAAAAAGTTAGTAAGATCCCATCTCAACAAATAAGCCAGGTGTGGTTGTACACAACTGTGATACCAGCTATGAGGAGGGAATAGGTAGGAGGAACTTGGTCTGAGGCCAGCCTTGGGAAAAAATGTGAGACACAACCTGAAAAATAACTAAAGCAAAAAAAGTCTGGGAGCATGGCTCAAGTGGTAGAGTGCCTGCTAGCAAGCTCAAGACCCTGAGTTCAAATCCCAATACCATAAAAAATAATAATAATAATTGATGTAAATTACCAATCCACATCCCACACTCCACTCCCAAAGTTCCAATTTAGTGGATTGAGGGCAGGACCCTAATGTCTTTCCTTCTTTTTCTTTTTTTTTCTTTATTTTGGGGTTTGAACTCAGGGCTTTGAGCTTGCTAGGCAGGGCACCCTACCACTTGAGCCACACCACCAACCCAATTTTGATTCTTTTTAGTGTTGCAGCAAAATACGAGTTGGTTGCTGAACTTATTTCATGTCGCTTTAAATTAGACCTAATTAGACTTGTATTAGACGTAATACAAGTGCCTCCCTCACCTTGCTCTAGTCCCAAATTTTATGTCCATTGACCCTTCTTTTTTTCTTTTTTTTTTTCTGAAAATCCTCCTGCCTCAGCCTCTGAAGTGCTGGGATTACAGGCATGCATCGCCATACCCAGTCATTCCCTTTCCTAAATCCTCTTCTCCTCACCCTTCTTTCATCACCGTTTCTCAGTCTCCTGTGCAGGCTCTTTCCTACCCACCCTGTAAGCCTTAGTGTTTCCAAGGATTCTGCATTCAGCTCAGTTCTTTTCGTAGTCACGGAAATGCCATAGGACCCACTGGAAAGCTATGGTGAGGATTGTAAGAGACTATGCAAGCAAAACAGTTAGCACAGTGTCTGGTTTACAATAAATGCTGGTCCATGTTAGCTACTACTAATATCGTGGCCACCTTCTAAAACTAATTGCTGGGAATAATAGACCAGAAATATGTATAGCGAATGACTGAAAGCAAGACTAGAGTTGGGCGTGGTAGACACATGCCTGAAATCCCAGCACTTGGGAGGCAGAGGCAAGAGAATCGAGAGTTCCAGGTCAGCCTGCCCTATGAGACCTGAGACCCTGTCTCAAAAAAAAAAAAACGACACACACAAAAAAGACTGGCCTGGGACAGAGGAATAAAAGGGAGACAAAGTTGGTCAACCTAGCTGGTAACTGAAGCAAAGGGGTAGTATATACAGGGCAGGGACGGGACAATGTTGGAATAAAAACACTACCATGTGGAGTAATAGTCTGCCCCAGCTATGGTGGCAACAGGCAGGGAAGCCCGGCTCCAGAGCAAACACTATTTTTGCAGTAAAGAGCCTTTCCTAATGAGCCAATCTGTCTCTACTTCTATTGGCATCCTGGGAACCAGGGTGCAGCAGAGATAATTTGCCTCATGCCCCCACCCTCCTCCCAACAAGGCACCATTACCTACAACACATTACATTAGCCTTTATCAGTCTTAGAAGCTCTCAGTCATCCTCCATGAGTTGCAATAATTTCAGCTAATTTCTTAAGTGTTCTAAGAGCCTGTGATGTGTTATGAGCCTAGTAATTGTTGACTGGTTCCCTTTCTATTGTGGCTTGATTTCATACCTTGTATCCAAGCTGATGCGTGCTCTGGATGCTTTATTACAATGAGGCTTTTTGCAAAGACTCACATTAAAAAATAACATTAAATACTGAGGTTGTTTTAAATCAGAGTTTAATTTTTTCACCATCTCCTATTATTCTTATTAGGAAGCCAGGCAATTCTTCATAAAGATAGTGACCTCCAGTGTAAAACCTTGAGCAAGTACAAAATTGAGAATTAATGATGAAGCTAATACTTTTTTAGAGAAGTCTAGAAATGAGGCCCAAAATAATGAACTATGCTGAGACCCAGGGACACAATGGTTACGGGTTAGAGAACCTGGGACACTGACCCTCAGCTTTCTCCATGCACTTTGATTCATGAGAGCCTCCTCCTCACTCCCTAGGGAGCCCATGAGAGCCAAGGTGGCTAAACCACCCTGAAGGAAATTCCTAGAGAACAAGGAACAAGCCAACACCATACTCCCCCAATCCAGGTTGTTGCCCCTCCCTTCAGCTAGTGGCCCCTCTCATAGTAAAGAGCACAATTCAGTTACATGGTCGTTCTAGGCCCTATGTGGTACCAGGGATCAGGCACAGGCTCTGACTTCTCTGTGAAAAACCACCCCAAAATACTCTTTAACTTGTTGTACAGCTATATGACTGGCTTGGGTTTACGAAAGATACTGAGGTCCATTGGCATCTTTCTGTCAGCTGTGAGCAGGTAAGTTCTGTTTCAAAGGAGCTCCAGGGTTTCAGTGGTATATCAGGCTCAATGTGTTCTTGACACTCAGAACACAGAATCATGGATTCTAGTTATCAGTAGGTGTCCTGTAGCCCTTGGGATGGGCCTAGAAGTTGCGTTATCCCTGTGGTCCTGCTCTGGTTGTCCCTCTGCCCCATGTTCCCCATTGGCCCTTTACTGGTCAGCACCCTTTTGATTGAGAATTACAAAAAATCAACTCATATTGGACTCAGGAAAAGGGGATTTATTGGCTCAGAGGGTAGAAATACATATTTCAGGCCCATAGACCTAGGAGCTCAAACAGTATTCTCAGTTCTTAGTCTCTTTGTCCCTCCATTTCTTGGTCCATACTCTTCTGTTTTAAGAGGCTTGTGTGTAATACTCTAGACACACATCCTTGAGTGTGTCACATTGAGTTCAACCACATCAATAAGAGACCATTTCTTTTTCATGGGGTCCTAAGACAGTCCCAGTTTTTGAGCCTCATTGGACCAACTTAAGTCACATGCTTAGCCCCAAACCCATTTCAACAGTTAGAAGAATAACATACCCTATAACCAACTTGCCCTAACAAAATCACATGACCAATGAGTGGAGGAGGCCCAAGGGACAACTGAGGTGCCATTAGAAGAAGGAAAAGATTCTTCCTGGAAGCAAGGAGGAGTTGGGGGGGGAGGGTAGGAAGGGGGGGGTAGGGGGAAGAAATAGCCCAAACAATGTATGCACATATGAATAAACGAATAAAAAAAAGAAGAAGGAGAAGAGAGACTGGAAAGCCAAAACCAAGAGATATGCATATTGCATTTAATTCAAATATTTCTTTGGCTGGACACGGTGGTACATCCGTAGCTAGGTGGTACATCCTAGCTACTTGGGAGGCTGAGGCAGGAGGATTGAGAGTTTGAGGTCAGTCTTAACTACGTAGTGACACCTGTCTCTTAAAAAAAAAAAAAAAGTTCCAGCATTTCCTGATGGAAGGAAGATTTTCCAAATTATTGTGTCACTTTATCGATGGACATTTCCTGGATAGGAGGCAAATTATGTGAAGAAAAGGATCTTGTAATCCTTCTGAAGGATCAGAGCCAAGGAAGTTGACAAGTGTTTCATTTCTACTCCTCTCTCCCCCTGGACAGCAATCGGTACCTGATAGAATTTCTTGAGGTTGGAGGTGTCCTGACACTCTTGGAAATACTTGGGCTGGAGAAGATCAAGGAAGAGGACAAGAAGGAATCCATCAAGCTTCTTCAGGTTATCGCAAACTCTGGCAGGAAGTACAAGGAGCTCATTTGTGAAAGCTATGGTAGGTACTGTGTATGACTTACCACTTCTCCCTAGGGTCCCAGGTGGAATGGAAGTAGCACCCACACTGCTATGGGGAAATCCATAATAGAACAACCAGTTGCATGGGGAGCATTTAGCACAGTAAACTCGATTAGCTTCTGTCCATGTTACCAGCAGAAGACCAGATTTATGGCTTTTCTGATTCATTGTTTGCTCAAACTTTTCAATAGTGGTTTTAGAAATACTTCTCCATTTTATTTATTTGATTGTTTTGTTTTGTTTTGTTTGGTGGTACTAGGGTTTGAATACAGGGCCTCATGCTTGCTAATCAGGCACTCTACCACTTGAGCCACTCTATCAGTCTTCCAGTTTAAATATATTCTCTTTCATATATCCATTCAACAAAGATTTATTTGCAGTTGCCTAAAATCCTGTGCAAAATTGAATTGTAAATAATTCTAGAAATAAAATTATTGAACACTTATGATGTGCTAAGTATATGCCAAGGCACTAGGAATACAAAGATTAATAAAATATTGACCCTGTTCTCAGAGAGTGTGCAGTCTAGTAAGAGGGTACAATCCAGTATTTCCATAATCTATCCAGTGCTCCGTGTGAGGCATGTAAAGAAGATGGCAGCACGCATGCCTTCCTTTTCCAAAGCACTTCCTACCCTGTACTTTCATCAGGATTCCTTTTTCTCTCTCTTCCATGCTGAGCTTCAGTGTCTTCATCTATAAAATAGGACAAAACCTTCCCTCTCACAATAGTTTCTCAGGGAATGAGATAGTATGTGTAAAAACATTTTGTAAACTGCTGAGCACTCTCCAAGTGTTATCATCTAACAATAAAAAATGTGTTTTTCTGGTGGAGTGGCTCAAATGGTAGAGTGCCTGCCTAGCAAGCATGAGACCCTGAGTTCAAGCCCCAATATTGCCCAAAAAGAAAAAAAAAAGTGTGTTTTATGGCTGGGAGTGTAGCTTAGTGGTAGAGTGATTGCCTAATACCTAGTACTAGGTCATGGGTTCTATTCCCAGCATTGCACACAAAAAAACATGTATTTTAAACTTTAAAATGGCCCTACAAAATGTATAACTAAAACACATTTCTTTTCCTTCTTCTCTTCCTTTTACTCCTCCTCCCTGCCTCCCCCTTCTTGTGCTGGGTGTCAAACCCATGGCCTCACAAATGTGAGGCAAGTGCCCTATAACTGACCTATATCTACAGCTCTTAAACACAAATTTTTATATGTCTATGCTGAAAGACTCCTCTGGCCATATAGCTGGAGATAAACAAGACAGTGATGCAATGTGAAAAATGAGCCTCAATTTTGCTTTGAACAGGCTTGGTTGAAAAGATTTTAATTCTATTCATATTATATAATCTTAAGTGAGATTGTTTTTGTAAATTGCATCCAGTTCAGCATTTTCTCTTTTTTGCCCAGGTGTTCGATCCATAGCAGAATTTCTGGCAAAGTCTAAGTCAGAAGAAACCCAAGAGGAAGTACAGGTTCTGTTGGATTCTTTGGTCCATGGTAATCCCAAGTACCAGAATCAAGTGTATAAAGGTCTAATAGCTTTGCTGCCCTGTGTGTCCCCAAAAGCTCAACAGCTGTCCCTGCAGACTCTCAGAACTGCCCAGGTAAGCCAAGGCTGCATGCTCCTGGGGTTCTGTTCAAACACAGTAGACTTACAGTTACCTTCTGCAGCAGCCCTTCCCCACAGGCGTGAGAAGCAGAGCTCAGCCTCCCCGTGTATGTCTGCTGTTCAATCAGCCTCACTTCCAGAAGGCCAAGGCGGGCCAGAGAGTTCATGTCTCCCAGCAGAGTGATTTGTCCTGTTTACTTAAGGATCAGAAAGGTGTTGGCAGACTTCAAAGTGGTTGAGACAAGCAACAAGGATGATGAGAAGACTGTAGAGAAGATTAAAGGCGTCAATTTGATAGGGAAAGAATTGTGGTACATTTGTAGACAGCATGTAAGTGAAGAGGCCAAATTGCCACTGCTTGGAAAAGCTCCTTTTTTCTTGTTGGCTTCTGCCCTAGAATATGAGTAAAGTCAGATATGGGTCATGGTGACCACAGGAAGACATCATGCTTAGTAAGGAGGGAACATGGCTTTGATATGAAGCATAAATATCTCTTAAAACTGAGCTGAGTGTGAGTTTGAATTCTGAGCTGCAAAAGCCTGGGAAGTTTACATCTTGAACCCTCAGTTTCCTTCCCTATGAAATGAAGAGAGTAACCTATAATAGCAGAGACTTGACCTTGACTTGTCTGGGCCTAAGTTTCCTTCTTTATAAAACAAGGATAGTAGTTGAGCTGGTGGCCACTCAAGTGGTAGAGAGCCTGCCTAGAAAGTGCAAGGCCCTGAGTTCAAACCCCAGTACTACCAAATAAATAAATAAAATGAAATAAGTATGTAATCTCTATATGGAAGGATAATTATAAAGATAAAACTTGGAGACAGTGGGAGGTGAAAGTTGTACAAAACCTTGTGTTCAAGGCCAACTCAGGCAAAGTTAGTAAGACTCTTATCTCAAAAAAAAAAATGCAAACAAGAATTAAAAACAGGGCTGGTGGAGTGTCTCAAGCTGTAAGAACACCTGCCTAGCAAGCATAAGACCCTGAGTTCAAACCCCAGTGCTGCCAAAAAAAAAAAACAAAAAGAAGAAAAAATACTCTCAAAACTGCTCTGGAGAGGCAGGGGAGAGTGGGGGAGGTGGCCCAAACAACGTATACACATGTGAGTAAATGTAAAAACAATAAAATAAAAAATAAATATGGAAATGAGGTTCCACATTTAAAAAAAACAAAACTGCTCTGGAGAATGGGATGGAGGAGAGAGACAATGGAGAGGTAAAAGAGATGATAAGGCCCCAACCTTGGCAGTGGTGGTGGGAATAGAGGTAACCAAGGTGACATACATTTCTTGTTTTGTTTTTTTGAGACAAGGTTTTGTTTTGTAACCCAGGCTGACCCGAAACTTTTCATCCTCCTGCCTCAGCCTCCTGAGTGCTGGAATTACAGGTGTGCTCCCACACCTGGCCTGAATAAACATTTCTGAGTTTCAGTGTGTGGAACCAAAGGCAGTCAAAGAAAGGGTATCAAAGATGACACCCAGCTTTGGGCTTAGACAATAAGGTAAGTTGTATATCACCCAGAGAGCAGAAAAAGAGAGAAATCAGGTTGATTTAGGATGAGTTAGTTTCTTTCTTTTTTTGGTCGGATTGGGGTTTGAACTCAGGACTTTCACGCTTGCAAAGCAGGCACGCCTCCATTCCATTTTGCTCTTGTTATTTTAGAGTTGAGGTCTTGCAAACTATTTGCCTGGGTTGGTTTTGAACCTTAATCCTTCCAATCTCAGCCTCCCAAGTAGTTAGGATTACAGATGTGAACCACCAGCTCCCAACCAGGAATTAGGTTTTAACCCCATAATTTGATAGGCTTTGGTGGTTCCCAAGTGCCCATCTGAAGAGCATGACAAGCTGGTTGCAAAAGACAGAACTGAGTCTTTTGTTGTTGTTGTTGTTGTTGTTGTTGTACTGGGATTTGAACTCAAGGCTTCCCACTTGCAAAGCAGGTGCTCTATCACTTAAGCCACACCTCCAATCCTGAGTCACTTTTTAAAACAATATAGAATCCAGAGCCTCTCTCCCATAGAATCTGACAGCTCTCTGGTGGCCCATGGCAATGCTTTTTTTTTTTTTTAAGCTCCCCAAGTGATTCTGATGCTTAGCTCGGTTGATGAACCACTGCCCAGAACAGCTAGGAGATGCCCACTGGACCATGGAAAATAGCAGTCTGAAGCTCCAGAGAAAGGCCCAAGATGAAAATGTCAGTTTGGATTTCATAAGCAGAGAAGTGATAACCAAAACTGAAACAGAAGTAAATAAGATCCCCAGGCAGAATGTAGCAAGTTGGAAGAGAAGGGAAGGGGATACCTCCAAGGTGTAAAAGACGAGCTGAGGGGAAGATGCAGCAACACAGATCTGATGGTCATGTACTCCTGGTTTCTATTAGGTACCTCCTACATGCTAGGCACTGTGGTCAGAACTTGTTTACACTGCTCTTTTAGCCTTCACAATAGCTGATGGGGCAGCATGGGTAAAGTTTGAAGAGGTAGAAAAGAGGGGCTGCTTGACAGGTGAAGTTCCTAAGAAAAGATTGTAGGATATCCAGTGAATCTTCTTCTTCCTGCTCTGTGTCTTCTGTAGCCGAGGTCACAGACCTTCCTGCACCTGTAACAAGTGACCAGCTAGCCTTGGTTTAATGTATCCTGAGTTACAGGCTTCAGTAGGAACCTGGGTAGCCTCTCCATCACCTTCTTGGCTCCTCTCTGCTCTTTCTCCCTATAGGGAGGACCTAGGTCCAGTTACTCACCCTGTCCTTTTCTCCCTCCCTCATTTACCCTGGCACCTGGCTATTTGGAATTCAGAGTTTTATTTCTTCCAGGCATAAAAGATCTAAAGAGCAACCACTTTGTCCTCTTGTCTGTCTTGTCAGTCAATCGTCGGAACAACACATTCCAGCATTGTCGACTGTGTGCTGAAGGTGCTGGGCACTATGCACTTGGAAGTCCAATATGAAGGTAGGAAGGCCTCCTCCAGGTGGAAAATGATGATAACAGAACAGCAAATTAGCTCTCAGTCTTCTCTTAGTCACAAAGGACCTATTGTTGAGTATCCTAGATAGCCTCAGCAGATGGAAGATGCTAATTCAGTGTCAATCAGTGAGTTTTCAGAAAACGGCAGTCACATTCTGTGCTTTGAATCAGCCACATGGTGCTTAAACAGTTGTTAGACTCTGCCTGGGTTCAGAGCTTGTTTTTGTTTCCAGGCTCATGTGGTGCTTCCCCTCAGAACAGAAGTCACCATGACTAGGCTGGGGGTGGAGCTCAGAGACAGAGTTCTATGCTAGCATGCATGAGGTTCTGGCTTCAGTCCTTACCACCACCACCACCAGCACCACATACCATGCACACACACACACAAAGGAGAGAGAAAGAGAGAAGAAAAAAAACATCCTAGGGAATGTCCTCCTTATAAATTGGATAACAATAGTATGAAGTTTTCATTTATTGACTGCCAGCCATTTTCTGTATATCATTTCATTTAGTTCTCAAAATAACCATAAGATTACAAAGCCTGGTACATGTCAGTATCAGGTTTTCAAATGTTTGAGTGAGTGAATGGCGAAGATAGTTTTGGGGTTTTTGTTTTTTTGTTTTTTGGGGTTTTTTGATGGTATTAGGGTTTGACTCAGGGCCTCATGTTTGCTAGGCAGTCATTCCACCACTTGAGCCATTCTTCCAGTTTCTGACATAGGTATTTCTTCAAAATAAAACATTTAAGCATAGACTGGGCATGGATGGCTCATGCCTATAATCCTAGCTACTCAGTAGGCAGAGATCAGAAGGATCATGGTTGAAAGCAGCCCAGACAAATAGTCCATGAGACCCTATCTCAGAAAAACCCATCACAAAAAAGGGCTGGTGGAGTGGCTCAAGGTGTAGACCCTGAGCTCAAGCCCCTATACCACAAAAAAAAAAAAAAATTAAGCATAGAGAGTTAAGTATGTTTTGCAAGGTTACACAGCTAATTGGCCTCAAATCAGGCCAGACTGACCCTAAAGCTTATGCTTTCAACATAGAGCACATGACAGGCATTTAAAGGATCCTATTTCTGGGCTGGTTGTGGCTCAAGTGGCTCAAGATAGAGCACCTGCCTACCAAGCCCAAAATCCTAACTTCAAACCCCAGCACTGCAAAATTAAAAGAAAAAAATTGGTAAAAAAAAAATATTGTCTGTCACCACATTATCAATTTCCCCTGTAAGTATGGATGGATATTGTGAACCTTTTTCTTCTCTTTCTTTTTTTCTTTTTTTTTTTTTTTTTGGTGGGACTAGACTTTGAATTCAGGGCCTCCCACTTGCAAAGAAGGCACTCTACAACTTGAGCCATTTTGCGCTTGTTATTTTGGAGATGGGCTCAGGCTGACCCTTGATCCTCCCCATTTCAGCCTCCCAAGTAGCCAGGATTATAAGCATGCACCACGGGTGCCCAGCTTATTGTGGGCCTTGTATGCTGAGAAGTAATGCTATGTTGAAACCTTCCAATTACCAGCTGGAGCAGAGCATTCTAGGTGAGGAGGAGCTGCCAGTGAGGGGGTGGAGTGGTAGAGGGACCTTAGTAAGGATCAGACTCAGTGGCATACAGTTGCTGGCATTGAAGCATGAGGTTGACCTGGCAGTGGAATCATGATAGAAACCTTAAACGACCCCAACCAGACTACATTAAGTGACACTGAGACCTTCCCACCCCACCTCCACATGGCAAGCATAGCCATTCCTACTTTCCCAGCCTTTCTCAGCTTAAGCATTTCTTCTCTAATGCTCTCCTGGAGCTGCTTTTAACCCTTACCCAGATGTCAGCCCTCCTCCCTTCAAACCACCCTGCCACCCCATCCCCACCAGAACCTCCCTCCACAAGAGCAGTAACCTCCAAAATGGTAACTTCCCGTTACATAGATTTACATGATTTCAGTGCAACTACCATGGTTTTAATCTTACATCCTCAGCACAGTCCCAAGCCTATATTAGGTCCTAATACATTTTTGTTGAGTGAGTGAAAGCTGCACATACACCTGCATTAGTTATTACTTGCCTGAATGAAAGAATGCCTTTCTCCTCCCGACTTTTGAGCAAATCTAGGGTAAGAACAAGGTCTGATTCATCTCTTTTTCAGCTCAGGGCTTGGAACACAATGGGTGTTCAGTAGAAGTTTGTTGAATAACTTTATGAAGAGATGGATTAGCTTCAATTTTGCTGGTGAAAAGTCCTCCAGAGTTGGAACTGATCCCAGCCTTTTCCAGTTTAGAGTTCCTCTGCATTTATTCAATAACAACTGACACTGACAGAGACAGCAGGAACATGAAGCTTTGTCACTGCCTTTTTGGTTTGATGTCAGCTCTCATGATAGCAATGAAACTATATTCCTCAAAATAATTTCCTATGTTTCAGACTCAAGACAGGCACTTAAGAAATGTCTGTGCATGGTGGTGCACATCTGTAGTCCCAGCACTCAGGAGGTTGAGGTAGGATTGCAAGTTCAAGGCCAGCCTGGAGTACAGTGAGACCCCATCTCAAAAAAAAAAAAAAGAGGAAGAAGATAACAAAGAAGAAATGTCTGTTGATTGAATGAATTAGTCTTTTCTAACCAGACACTTCAAAATAGTCTTGATGTAACTTAACTCTAAATGTAGAGACTGTATATGTAATGAATGTCCACTAGGGGTTGCTGTTTCACTTGCTCAGTGCAGAGCTAAAGTTAGAGAAATGAGACATTCAGTTTCCAGGGAAACTCCTGCAAAGGCAGCGGAGGAGGATCTGATTGTCTTAGCTATGAGCCTAACAGTAGGTGACCAGAAAGGATCCGAGGTGAATTTCTTAGGATTGGAGAATACCAAATTTCAAAACCAGGGGAAGGTCCCGCAAAACGATGGTAGCAGAGAAGCCTATGACCAAGAGACTGGAAGAAGTCAGTGGGTAATACAGGTGAGAGATGTGGGTAATACAGATGTAAGGGTACAGAGGGTTTGTTTTGTTTTGTTGAACAAATATATACTGAATATCTGTGTTATGCCAAGAATTATGCCAGTTGCTGGGATGTTCTTTGTGTTTGTTAGTATCACGAAGAAGGAAAAGACTGATTTAGAAGGAAGGAGGAGGGAAGGAGGTTGTTGACATCCTTCCCCTGAGAAGACTAGAGGGAAAGTATAATTCTCAGGAAAGAGTCAGGTGAGAACAGGCAGTGGAGAGTCTTAGGGGGTCTGGTGACTATTAACCTTGCAATGGGTGTTAGGGATGGAGGAGGCATTCATGAAGAACTCCACTTTTCTACCACAAAACCTAACAGCCTGCCTGACACACATTTTCTGCTCTCTTTCCCATTACAACAGAATCTCCGTGCCTCTCACAGGCACTTCTTATTCTTGGAAGCCCATTTCCTCAAGGATTTCTTTCCTGTAGTTAAACTCTCCCTTTTCCTGTAGTGGATCATCTCCATTGATGTGCAAATATGCTCTATATCACTGATCTGAAAAATGAACACCTCCTAGGGGCTGGGAAGGTACTCAATGGTAGAGCATTTGCCTACCATGCTTGAGGCCCTAGGTTTGATCCAAAGCCCCTCCTCATGAATCTGCAGACTGAAAGATATGTTCAAAGAAAGACAGACCTTAACTCTAGTGTCAAGGATTCATACCCCTTCTTCAAACCAACTTCCCCTCCAGCTATTCATTTTTCCATTTTCTTCCTCCTTAACTTCGGCAGCTTTCAGATTCCATGGACCTCTCCCCCATTTCTTCCCATGGCTTGTGACATGCTTTCTTTCCTCAAGCCTGTTGAGTTTACCTCTTTCCTTGACTAGTTTCTCCTATTTCTCTACAAACCTGTTTGGTCAGCTTACTTCTCATCTCTTTATCTACACTTTCTATCTACACTCTCTCCCTAAGTGACTTTGCCTAGTGCCATGACTTTATATACCATATATGGATATATATATATATAGGTGTAAGTAAATCTCTCTCTGGTTCAGATTTCTCCCTGAAGTCTCCATGTGGATGTATAACAGACACCTCAAACTTATGGCTACAGAAGAACTCATTTTTCTCTCAAAAACTGTTCTTCCTCCTCCTTTTCTCTATCAACCCAATTACTCAAAGAAAACCTGTAAGACTAACAGTAGATTACCTTCTTTCTCTCACCCCCACCCAATCCTATCCTTACCACATTTTCTAGGCTCCATCTCCATTCCCTTCTCTGCCCCCACTGTCATTACTCTAGTCTAACCCGCCATTCTCATAATTTATCTTTCTGGTTCCATTCTAGCCCCCTTTAATCTACTCTCCCACTACAGCCAGAATGATCATTTTAAAAAATATAAATTAGGGCTGGACACCAGTGGCTCATGCCTGTAATCCTAGCTACTCAGCAGACAGAGATCAGGAGGGATGAGGTTTGAAGCCAGCCTGAGCAAATAGTTCATGAGACCCTATCTCGAAAAATACCCAACACAAAAAAGGTCTGGTGGAGTGGCTCAAAGTGTAGGCTCTGAGTTCAAACCCCAGTACCAAAAAATATATAAGTATATATTTATTTATATATTTATATGTATTTTTATATTAAATATGTGCATTTATGTTTATAAATATATTTTATATTTTTTTATATTTATATATATAAATTAGGGGCTGGGTATATAGCTCAGTGATAAAATATATGCTTGACATGTGCAAAGCCCTGGGTTCAGTTCCCAGCATCAAATATGTATACAGCACCAAGACTGAAATCCAGACATCTGTCATGGCCTACATGGGAACTTATTCCCCCAGACCGCAGATTAATAAATGCAGACATCAACTCTTAGGAGAGGCTTTCCCACCTACCACCTGCCTCAGTTTTTCGCCATCATATCATATCATCTACCCAGTTTTTTCAGCCCAGATGTCCAGTGATAGTCCTGATACCAAACGGGAGGCTGTGCGTCTTAAGTAACCCCTTGTTTCTTGAAAGTTCTTAAGGGCAAGGA